AGCCGTGGTTAGACGGGGGTTTTCTTCACCTAACAGCAGGCTCATCACCACCACTGAAAAGTTAATAATGTTTAACAGATGCCTGTTCAGCAATAAAAATAATAAAAAAAGAAGTAGCAGTGATGCCATAGCCAATACCTCTACCTGTGATTATCCAATTTCATTACATACAGCAAATTATTAAATGGATGTCATGGAGTTCTGCTACATGATTCTCTCCATACTTGTGAAAATTGGTGCTGTCATCCCAGTGACTCAGCCCGGCTGGGCCTTGCGAGCATCACCGGGGAGCGCCACCGAAAGCACAGCGGGCTGTGCCCGGCCCCGCGCCTGGGACTTCGTTTGGCTTCGGCAGGCGTGGCGGGACTGGCGGTGACCGCAAGGTTCACCAGGGAAAAGCTCAGTCCCATAACGGACCAAGTGGCTCCACCAAAAAATAAAGTCAAGCCACAACTTCTCTTACACAAAGGACTGGCCTAGATCAGCCATGATCCTAAGCTGGGTCGACCTGTGGTGAGAGACCTGAGCTGGGAAATCAGTCCTGGAAGCCTGACGGGTGCTCGGTTTCCAGCCGGGGAGAGGGAAGTGCCGCCATTCCCTGTGGAAAACTGGCTCCCACCACAGCAGCAGGATAACTGGGCAGGAGGGGTTTTGTGTGTTTGCTTTTAGTTGCTACTGCGATAACCCTGTCCCTGACGGACCCCTCCCAAGCTCTGTGAAAAGTAAGATCTGTCCATAGGCCACCTCCGTAGTCTAGATAACGGGCAGCCAGCCCCAGCTGTTTATGGGAAACGGCTGGGAACAAAATCTGCTGCGTCTGTCTCCTTTTAACGTGCGGAGTGTGAGGCGTTACACCATCCCCCCCAGCTCCTCTACAGGCAGCCCCACGGGAGAGCAGGGCCTGGCCGAAGCCTCGCCCGCGCAGCCAGGAGGTGCCCGTGTGCCCTGAGGGCAGGCACCCACCGCTCCGCTCCGCTGCCCGGAACTTCATCTCTGCCCAGGAGGCCCAGGCCCAGCGGTAAATGCAGGGCAAGAAATTTCAGCCAAAATACCTATTTCATGCAAAGAGCACACTCGTGATCAAGTGACAGAGATGCTAATGATGTGGGCTAGCAAGTTCTGTCTTGTAGACAGAAGGATTCATCTTCGCACAAAAGCAAGAGTAAGTTGTTTGCAAAGCTCTGGGATACGGTCAGAGCTGTTTACTAACTCTGAAGGGGAAAACGGGCTACAGGGCCTGAGAGATGCCAAGGAGAAGAACAGGAGGAGCTGTCACTTGGGTAGTGCTTCCTAGCTGGTGGTGGATATTCATTTAATAACTTCTGTTCCCTAACAGATGCCGGATCTGTCCTGGGTAACATGGAAAGGATGAGACAGCTGAACAAGCAAAAGCTGGGTGAGCTATTGTTGGAAGAAATTGCTGTCCCAAGTAACATGATGGGGCTGATGCGCCAAGGGCATGTGTTTTATCTTCCCCTAATTTTATTTTTCACATAGGTGTCTTTAAAGATTTCCTTTAAATTTTAACACCTTGAGGCAGAAAATTTTTTTACTGACATACAAGGAACTGTGATCGCACCGTAAAAAACAAGATCACAGATAGGCTGTTGTCTTTCTTGGGGATTTTACTTCTCTTCGCTGCCTTTCTTGCCTTCTCAAGCAAAATCTCATTTTTTAATTACTACCAGCCATAGCCATGATGTAATAGTTTAGTGTTACTTTCTGAATCTACTGATACTACAACCATACTTAGTGACAACTTTTTAATAGGTGCCTCATTATGGTAATTACAATCACTTCAAGTATTTCAAAATGGCTCTTCCTGCAGTGAGGCTCATCTTTCATATTATGTCATATTCAGTTCTCCCTTTTACAGCCGTGCTGGCTGGATGCTACAGTGTGCCCTGTACAAATCCAAATTTCCCGACTATCTGCACTGTCTCGATTTTGGAAGACTTTCTTGGCATCTTCAGAATGCCACGGCTGGAAAAGCAAAGAGCACCTCCAGGCAGGGAGCCCTGCCTGCAGTCTGGACGATCTGCCCCTTGTAGCTGAGAGCCCCTTTATACTGGTTTGGTAGTGCTTGCCTGCAGTCAAGAACTGAATGTGGTTTTTTTGCACTTTACAGTATCTGCGTTTTGTTGCCTCAGTGGCTACATCTGTACAGCCCGCCATGTGGGGGCTGCCTTTTACTTTGAAATGGAGTGGTTACTTCCCAGCTGCCCATTGAATATGATTTTGGCACACACTGTCTCCCAAAACATCCGTAGAAATGTTGGCTTCAGAAGGTCATTTTGATCAGACGCCTGCTTCAAATGGGACCCAGGAACCGTCTAGAAAAGTACTAATTGACACAGGCCAAACTTCTTCCAGGTAGCATACTAGTAATTAAATATTGCATGCAGTAATGAATCAGTAGCTTCTCTGTTGTATTTACTAATATACAGATAGCTGATAGTTAAAAATGTCTTTAGTTTTATCACTTTTTTTTTCTTCATTCCGCAAATTGGAGTGCCACGATCCCAAGTCCTTCTGCTCCCTGTACTTACAGAGGCCCCCTCAGTGGTGCTGCATTACAGGCAGAGGCTTAGGAGGTGTGTATGGAGGACATAAGGGCAACCAGCGAGACCTTCAGTGAGAGGGGAGCCTACGGTTAGTGCAGAGGTTGCAGGATGGCTATTCTAGGACATGTAGGAGTGCTTGTGTGTATGTGTGGTGGGAATACAGAATATAGCCAACTGGTGCTTCTGTTGCCATTGGCAGTGAGTTGAGGAATGTTTCAGGGATGGGTTGAGAAAGGAGTTTCAATCCCATTATCAAATGAATCATTCCATTGCAGACAACTGTTTATCCTGTGAAGATTTGCCTTGGACCCGTAGGGGCATAAGAGTCCAGAATAAGCCACCCTGAATTCTGCCTTTTGCTATGGCAACAGAGGGGAGTTTTCTGTCTGCAGGAGACATGGCGTGATGGCGAAGTGGCCAGAAATTACCTGTGGCAGCAGTGGAGAGATGTAGATTGGAAGGAATCCTGCATGATGAGGCTGTTTTGTGATAGTTTTATAGCT